GACAATAAAGTATATTTGAATTGAATTGAATTGAATTGAAGAAGTCGCGCAATGACAGTAATGTCGCTGCATCTTCCAAAACCTTCGCGGAGGCCACCTCAAGGTTGCTAAATAGAGCGAGTGTTTGGCGAGTGTTGGCCTACACCTGCCGATATAAAGGAGATGTCTCCTAGTGACCTGTCCACCTTCCTGTAAAGGAAGGGATGGACGATGACCCATGTACAATGGGTCACATGTGGCCTGAGTGTATACACTCACCCTCCCTAATCTACAGATACAGACTCTACAGTCAACGCATTTGACTTTGTAAATCATGACGTATTTCTGAAAAAGTTGACATGGTTCGGATTAACGAAAAATTTTGTTGAATTAAGAAAGAGTTACTTGGAAAATATATTGTCAGACACAAAGGAAATGTATCAGGAAAATATCATGCAAACTCTGGAATGCCACAGGGTTCCAATTTGGGGCCTCTCGTTTCCATTATATTCATAAATGATTCATCTTCAGTTATCAAACACACGGAATGCCTCCTGTTTGCAGATAACCTCAAAGTATATAACAAAATACAGTCAGTACGGGATTGTGTTATGCTGCAGAAGGACATGAATAGTATTTATGAATGGAGTCTGATTGATAAACTGCATTTCAATTTCACTAAGTGTAAAGTAATGAGTATAACTCGCACTTAAGAACCAGTTATCTTTAATAATGAGATGGGGGGAGAGAAACTAATCAGATGTACAGAAATTAAGGATCTTGGTGTAACCTACAATATAGTTTTTTCATTTGCGGAGCATATAGGAAATATAGTATCCACCGCCAACCGAACACTAGGATATATGCTGAGGCAATCTGCAACTTTCACAAATACTACCACAATGAAATTACTCTATTTTGCGCTAATAAAGCCTAAGTTGGAGTTTGCATCATTACTGTGGTTCTCGGACTATGCATCCTCATTATATAAAATTGAGAGAATACAGAATGTTGTATTGTAGAAAATACCGTTTGTGGCCTGACTATGACACAGTTAGATCAACTTTTCAACATTTCTTTAAGAAATTAATTTAAAATAATGTCCTTGGACCAAAGAAGAAATCTATCTGCTATTATGTTTCTGTACGAGGTGATCAATAGTAAATTAAACAGTCCCGAAATTCTTGCACTCATCCCTTTCAATGTACCTGGGCGGCGTACTCGTACAATACTTATGTTCAATATACCAAATTCTCTCTTAGCTTTAAGAGCTCCTCTCGTGAGTATTATGAAATTAATCAACAGTTACAATGTATTTGTAAATGTAGATTTTTCTCTATCTCCTAAAGTTATGTTTGTTATGATTCAGGTTCATAGCTTAATTACTACACCTCAAGTATTTTTTGTAAAGCTGTTAACCATGTAATAAGGCCGTCTTGGCCTGTTTGGTTAAAATCAAATAAATAAATGAATAAATAAATACTATTGTTGTGTAATTTCAGAAAATCAACTTGAATGTTTGAAGCTTTGTTATATTAGATAATTGACTTGTATTAGTAATAATGTTATTTCCTTTATACATTTCACCGCTGAACAATTTTGAACATACATTTTACCCCACACAGTGATTATAAACTCACTTAAGTTTAGTATACAATTGTTTACAGTCATAATTCCGATTATTAAGTTTCTCAATATTTTATTTTGTATTTGCAGTATTAGCAAAGAAGTTGGATTATTGATTGATAATGAAAACCCTCAAATGAGTAATCAATACAGTTTATTGTGTGATTTCCACTATAAAGGGTTTTACAAAAACCGCTACACGTGTTTCGCTATACGAAAGCTTCCTCAAGCCTAAACTAAATTTACTTCTCAATTACAACTATTTTATACTCTAAAACATCACTTACTTGTATGCCTACTTTCTAATGAATTAATCTACTTGAAAAGGTGAGATATGAATTCATTATATGAATAAATGAAATTTTTTCGAAGGTACCGTAAATATACTTAACTATTCTTACCTGCACAATTCTTATGATAGAAAACCCACTCAGTCCCGTTGTGGTAAGAATAGTTAAGGATAGATAGGTAAGGATAGATATTACCTGGAAATGAGCAGATTCAATAATGGTGAGTTATTCAGTTCAGTTTGACCGTTCATAAGCAATTGAGAGTTTTGAACTTGTTTATTTCTATACTCTTCAACAGGTTGAATTTTAAACCTTTCTCCAGGAAATGGAGGGGCTTGAATTCGTCATTGAAATCATGTCACTCTGTAATTAAATGAGTGGCATATGTGGAATTTATTTTTCCAATCTGGAAACTATTTTTGTGTTCCTTTATGCGGGCTTTGAATGTTTTTTCAGTTTAACCTATATAAAACATCGACAACGCCCCCAATTTTTCTGAAACTGAACTTTCATCTTTGTTATTTTTAATGTGCATGCCTGAGTTGTTGGTTTTGAAAGCAATATTTACTCCTACGTTTTGCAGAACATCTGAAATATTCGTAGTGGGGTTGGCCTAAGTAGGTAGGTTGAGGTTCTATAACTTTTATACTCTTCTCGTCCAATTGGGTAAACTTCCTTCAAAGCTGTATGACTTTTTTGATAAATAAATATAGTTTGAAAAAGTGAAAAACACGCTTGCAAAGAACATCGAACTTGAAAGTTAAAAATATATTTTTTTAATTAAGCTTAACCCTTGGACTCCCGTGCATTCTTATGTACGCAAATACCCGTGAGAGGTACCACAGGGACCCCTAGTCATTGTACACGTTTGAACACATATATTATGAAAATGTTTTTGAAGAAAACACCCTGTTGAATTAAGATTACAATTCCTTATTACGTTACCACATAACACATTTCTGACATTGTAAATACCACAAAATGGAAATATTTCAATTTAAATACATTTCGCTGGACAAATAAAATATTACACTTGAAATAACACTTGAAACACAAGATCATCTCCTAATTGTAGCAGAAAATAACGTCGTCGTGCTGTGGTTTTCTTTTTCCAATCAGGATATTTTTCTACGTATAGAATGAAGGCATTCAATGCACAAATGTCTATTATATTCATGAACAACCTATAACCAGTCCTTTTATGGGGGTTTTTTCCCAGATGAATTGAAGAGGGCTCTTATCTTTCCACTGCACAAAAAATGTCGGATAACAGAAATTGACAATTATAGGCAGATTTCGAATGTACCTATACCTTTGTATATGCAAATATTAATTTTTATTTAAGCTTTGATTTCATAATTTTATTCATAAGTGACGTACTGTTTTTTTGTAAATAATCATTGACCTACCATATATACGCTATGTATCACAAATGGTGAATAAATATTATTATTATTATCATAAGGCCATCGGGCTGTTCTTCTGCAACATGAATATTCCCTTATAAGCTTATCAGCGTATCAACGCCGCCCTTGGTTTTGTTATAATCCAAAATCATGAGGGACTTGTTGTCATCTCTATCAGAAATAGTATCTTTATCGTGTTGACTGGAAAGCAGATGGACCATTTTATTTTTCTTAGGTATAAACGAAACCATCGCAAGATCTTTTGTAAATGCAAATATTGATGAATGTGGGGGCCGAGCTGTAATTGCCAATTGTACTGGGGTATCTGACTTTTTCTTGCGAACAGTGCCAAGCAGAGTTAGTTGTTTTGTTAGTAGATATTGTGCTAATGCGACACTGGTGAAAAAATCATCCGTTGTTATTCCTCTCCAGCTACCGTGATACGGCTCTGCCAAGTCCGACACAACACGCAATCCTTGCAGTTTCTCTGCTGCTCCACCAGGCGTTTTTCCAGTGTAGACCTGCAGATTGGATAAATATGAGGTCTCAGTATCGGCAGCTGCCCAAATTTTGATCCCATACCGACCAGGCTTTGATTTGATGTACTGTCTGAATGGACAACGTCCCCGAAAACGAACGAGCTGTTCATCAATAGTGGTATTTTCATAAGGTTCAAATGCCTTTTTGCAATTGTTAACGAACATTTCCCAGATATCTCTAATAGCTGCTAGTTTGTCCTGTTCTTTTCTTTGAGCTCTAGTGGATTTGTCATCAAATCGTAGGAATGATGAAATTTCTCCAAATCTGTTTCTAGGGAGAGCTGCGCTGAAAAACGACCTACGTATAGAAGTGTTAGTGCTCCATATTTCCTTGGTGGATTCCCTTCTGCACCGCAATGCACCTGCTTTCACGAGTACTCCTAAGAAACAGTCTAATTCTTCTGATTCAAGTGAAGTCCATACTTTTGGTTTGTTAGGATTTTTTTCATTCCACTCAGCGTAATATCTGCATGCTTCTTGGTTGGTATAATTACATATAATATCGTTCATTTCAGTCTTTACGAACAAGTTGAACATTTCTAAAGATGTTTCACTGTATTCTGTAAGACCCGGGCGTGCATTTACAAAATTTCTTCGAAGTCTCCTAGTTGCAGGAAACGGTTGATGACGATACCATTCCATACCAGATTTTGCAATATATTTAGGACCTACGGACTGAACATTATGAGTTTCGTGGTCTTCAACTTCTTCATCTGAACTTACCTCGCTTTGAATTTCTAGATTATCATCAGTTTTTGAAATATTTTCCTGTAGTAAATCATCGTGGTCGTTGTTTTCGGAGTTACTGTCACTGTCATACTCGATTTCAGAATCAGAAGTCAAATTATTTACAATATCTTCCAGTTCACGTTGTGACAATGGTCTGCTTCTCTTAGACAATAATGTCGATTAAATGCATTAGACTGCTATCATCATCATAGCTGATGTTATTTGTTTTATTATGTTCAGTTCTTCATGGAAATTCGCCTCTGACAAGGGAACATCTATCAGTCTGTGGATCATACTGTTGAATGCTGGTACTTTGTGCTGATACGCGTGGGTGAAAGAATTATGAATGATAATATCTATATGTGCTGGTTTACGATAAATTGAAAATTCATGTTTGTTGTTAACTTTTGTTATTGTCAAATCCAAAAAATGTATAGAATCGTCCTTTTTCCATATCCATTCTGAATGTAATAGAAAGATGGAGAGTACTGATGAATTTCAAGAACTTAGTCAACTGTCTCTTCGTTCCTGTGAAACATACCAGAATATCATCCACATATCTATACCAATACACGAAACTTGCGGTACCATGGAAAAATAATAATTTATTCATATAGCTGTTGAATTCATACCTGACCTTTTCTGGTTCATCCATTCAATAGAATGTAGGCAACAAGTAGGTAATATGTTAGAGTATACAATGGTTGTAATTTAGAAGTAACTTTCAGTTAATTCTTCTTTTTAATTGTTTCAGGGATTTCAAATCATTCCATATAGTAAATGGAAGTCCGAACCAGTGAAATTCTTCTTACAGATAGTCTCAATTGTGGTTACCTGTAGTATATAAATATAAATGTAAGGACAACTTTGATGTATCAATCACTTGAAAAAGCTAATGTTTAGCGAAACATGTTGTGATATATTTTTTCTATAAAGTTTGTGGAGATCAAATCGTTTAAGTGTAGTTTGTGAAATTACTATGGATCTTCATTAAGTAACGGCCGAATCAATCAGAAAAAAACACTCACTTATTATCAATATCTTAACATGAGATATGTTCTGAGTATATTGCAATAAAGTTTGAGAGTATTTTATCGAATTTCGGTAACCACATGGTTTTCATTTATTTTATCTTAGCTGTTGCAATAAACTTGGAAAGCTATAAAATTCCTGAATAGAGAATGAAGAATAAAGAAAATCAATTACAACACCCTGTATCTCCGAAACAGAGCATTTTCGGATAAAAGTTCAAAAAGTCTTTTTTCTCATAATTGTCTCAGGAATTTTAATGTGCTTATATTACACCCCGCATACAGAGAATAATTATTTGGAATTGTCGTTCTATTCAAGTTAACACTCATCTTCGTGTCAAACTTCATTTTGCACTCTCACAAGTGCATCGCAGATGAGACTCATCAATAAATTACTTGAAATGAAAATATGTGCAATAATAAAATTTCCCAAATTCTTCCACTGTGACAGCTTGCCAGACCTGCATTAGATTTCAGAAAATCTAGAATATGACCACATTAGCAGAAAAGAAATCAAAGAATACCCAGTCAGCTATCTGTTCAATGAAATCATGACTTTTTCTATAAGTGAGCCAGTTTCGAGAACAAGAAACATAAATAGCTTGTCTCAACCGCAGCCCTTTATATATCGTCGCGAAAGAATAAAACAAATTACCCAAGAATTCAAATGGTTCACTCTCAAAAACTTCAAGAAGTGCCTGTAACTAACACTAAGAAATATTGACTGATTGCTTATTTTATTTTCAACTTCTCAGTTCCTGATTTTGTTACTCAATTCTTTCCATTCTGTTTAATTCCAAGAATTTCATACATTCATTCTGTGATATGTACTTTCAGTTCAGTAGCATTATGAAGAAACACCCTATAGATGTGTACATCTATGTATGTACCACTTTCATTGTAGGTATGTCGAAATAGGTATGTAACTCGAAAATCGTCCCGTTCAGAATATTGTCAGAACCAACACAAATCCATTTAGTCCACATTATCATCGTGAATGAATAGCTTGGATTATAATTCAAATTCAGTCAGCCACTATCTGTGAGCATCGAAATTTATACGTCATTTGCAGACCCTCCGAACCCTTGAACATGATTTGCCGAATATACTCGTAGCTTGCTTGCTTCAGCGATAGCCGGAATAGGAATGGAATATATGGACAGAGAGTAAGGACTTGTTCTGTAAGTATGGATACAAAAACAATACGAATAAAGTGAGGATTTGGTCAAGCTAACTATGATACTTCTATCTCAAAGATGGCAGTACTATAGTATTGAATATAATAGTAGTAAAAACCATATGGTTTTTAGTTCACCCTAACCTTCACCCTTACAAATTTCACAGCTGTCGGACTATTAGTTTGCAGGATAGAAGATTTTGAGTGACGCAACTTTGTTAGTTTGAAGAAAATGAAGAAAAAAATTTGGTGTATTGATAAAGCATTGCATTTTGGCGGCAAAGAAAACTTATTTTTGTTGTTCAAACGAAGAAGATGTAAGCAGTGGACGCCCCAAAGAGGCCGCTACCGACAAAAACACGAAAAAAGTCCTCAAAATAATGTTGGATGACCTAAAATTGAACTTGATCGAGATAGCTGAGGATCTAACGATATCAAACGATCGTGTTGGTCATATCCTGCATGAATATTTAGATAGGCGGAAGCTCTGTTCAAAGTGGGTGCCGCGCGAGCTCATAATCGACCAATTCTGTGGCTATTCTCCAGCATAATTGGTGCAATACTAGTTCATGCATCTCTTATTTTTTGTTTGAGATAGTCGACATCTGTACTTGCTGTTAAAACACCTTTATCCTTCACGTATCTCCAGACAAGATATCTGAAGGAGTGAAATCTGGGAATCAAGCTGGCCAGATAATTGGTCCATTGTTTCCAAACCATTGTCTTGGGAATATTGCATCAAATTTTCCTTGCTATTGCTGCATTATGGGGAGGAGCGCCGTCCTGTTCAAAATATTTTATTTCATGGCGGATATTCAGTGGCAATCCATCTTAGTAGCCATCGAATTCATTGAATATGAAAATGAAGATACATTTCACTATTTCCAATCAAACATTTATTCCCAACCATCCTTGGGAATTGGTTTCCCTATCTAAATGTTCATCTGTATTATTCCACATATGATGAATATTTCTGTTGAATCAATCATTGTTGGTGAATTTTGATTCGTCCGTCCATATTATTTTTTCACAAATATTTTCAACTTCTCTATTTCTACGTCTTAACCACTTCGCAAATCGTACTTTCCTTCCGTAATCCCTTTCATTGAGGTTCTGAACTTTGCGTATCCTGTAGCATTTATATTTGTTCTTTTTCTAAATAGTTTTAGTGGATTCTTAAAAAAATCCCCATTTCATGGGCAATTTTTCGTAAAGAACAATCTTGCTTAGCATAATTTTTGTAACTGGTCAGTCCTAAATAAAAAAAAATGTTTTCACGGTGTGAATTTTCATGTGGTAATATTTACTCGACCATAACATTTATTTGATTTCTCACACTTACAGTAACCATACATTTTCTTGTTTTTTTTCTGTCAAATGCACTATAGTCCCTCAATTTTTTTTTCTAATCGTCTGAACATTTGGATGTTCGAAATACAACGATTCGGGTATAGCTCAACATACATATTCCTTGCTAAAAGAGGAATTCTATTCGATTTTGCATAACTGAATAGCATATCAGTCCTTTCATCATTTGAATACATATTTGATATGTTCCTAAACGTCTGAAAGTTCTCAACAGATATCAACAATGCATTCATTTTTCCTGCCATAGAAACCAAGCAAAGCATACGCGTTCAAGATGGTAAATGAATTGAGATGCTATTTGATCATACCAAATTATACAACAATCAAATTTCGACCAAAAACTGATATTTTCGTTACTTACAGGACTGAGAATTATGAAAATATTACGAATTATAACACTGGTCCACAGTGGTTTTGTTGCCCTAGATATAAGATTGATTTTGGGTGTATTATAACCCTTGGACTCCCGTGCATTCTTATGTACGCAAATACCCGTGAGGGGTACCTCAGGTATCCTTAGTCATTGTACACGTTTGAACACATATATTATGGAAATGTTATTGAAGAAAACACCTTGTTGAATTCAGATTCCAATTCCTTATTACGTTACCACATACGTGGTAACGTAATTTTTATTTTTCTGACATTGTAAATACCACAAAATGGAAATATTTCAATTTAAATACATTTCGTTGGACAAATAAAATATTACACTTCTCTAGATCGAAATAACACTTGAAACACAAGATGTAGTGAAAAATGTATACGTACTACATAGATAGACAATTGTAACAGATCGTAGTTTGATGCGTTTTCCTATGGTTATCACATACAAACAAACTGTTTTCACTTTTTTGACTAATTTTCGCGGACATTGATTCTAAGTTGGTTTTCCACTTCAGCCACATGATCTGTAATATCATTCAGAACAGGTATCCCACAGTCTCGCAAAGCAGTTTTTACAAACGACTTATGATGTGTCGGATCACGCTTCTCCATATTCTTGCGAGTGATATCATCTCCTAATTGTAGCAGAAAATAACGTCGTCGTGCTGTGGTTTTCTTTTTCCAATCAGGATATTTTTCTATGTATAGAATGAAGGAATTCAATGCACAAATGTCTATTATATTCATTATCAACCTGTAACCAGTCCTTTTATGGGGGTTTTTTCCCAGATGAATTGAAGAGGGCTCTTGTCTTTCCACTGCACAAAAAAGGTCGGATAACAGAA